ACTCTTAACCACTGTTACATTGCCATGGGAATATGTGAGCAGTAGTCTCTTGAACAGACATGTTTGTCATAACCTCTTTATGAAGAATTAAGTATTCTCTTAGCCTCTCAAGTTACTAAAAAGTAGAATACATTTAAAAAAATTTAAATCTTCAAATTTTAAAACCTCCTAGCTTTTACTTTGTGAATGATTTGTTATGAAATAACTTTTGCTCCCCATCCAAACAGTGAAGAAAAACTAAGGCATCTACTGTAATCACATTAGTGAGTAGGCTTTTATATTTCCTAGTCCATGGGTGAAGAAAGACGAATCAAAGAGATGGCATTCCACACAGCTAGTTGCAGAGCTTTACTAAGCTTTCAGGACTGTTTCCACTGTTGGCTGCTTAAGAGTGCCATTTTCACTTATTCGAAACGTTTTATTGTTTACTATGTGCTAGGCTCTATATTAGGAGCTTGGGACACAGACATATATTAGACTAAAGTTCAGTCTAGTTGGGGCCATCTGTAGAATGAAGTAATTGCAAAAACTTCATGGTAAGCATTAGAATATTGGTGCCGTGTGAGATGTAGATGACATGCTCAACTTTACATGTGGGATAAGATAGGAAATGCGTCACAGAGGAAATGATTGAGCTGGGTTTTGAAGAATGAATAGTCGAGGCTGGAAAAAGGGAAAGGAATATTCAGAAGGACTAGCAAGTACAAAACATGGAGCTCATTTGGGCAGTTGCCAGCTCAGCAGAAGTGAAGAGGGTCTGGAGTGGGAGAGATGAGTAGAAAGAGGAATGCAGAGAAGGAATCCCTACCATAGAAAGTCATCAGGAGTTTTACATTGGTGTAACACTGGATTTGAATTTCAGAAACTTCATTCTGTGTTGCACTAGAGCCATAGAGGTCAATTACAGGCTATTTAAAATTCTAGGGCAGTCAAAATTCAGACCCAAAAGAGGGTGGTGGCAGTAAGGATGAAAAAGAAGCAAAAATAGGTAGTTAAGAATACTGCCCAGATTCCCTTGAAGAAAATCAAACAAAAGAGGGACATGAAAGAAAGCCATGAAAATTAAATTTCCCTTAGTTTACTGCCTGATTATTATTTGATGTGGCAATTCCTGTTAGACACACCCTAATTTCTCTGGGCATTTTCATGGATATTAGCATCTCTGACCTCCAGCAAGTGATTTCTAATCCTGTGGTTCCTAGGATCTGAGAGTGACTGGAATGGTCCTTCACCTTCAGACATCAGTATACCCTCCCTAGTCTCTTCTGTGTTCCGTAGGCCCTACTACTTTGAAAAGCTTTACCTCCAGAGTTCTTTCTTAACAGCAAAAACCTTGCTTCTCTTTCAGGCTGACAAAATGCTAGTCAGCCTTATCATTTGTCTAGCTTACCAGAAGGAATGCATCATACCCTGCTTTACTTTCACAGTCCTAGAAGAGGCATGTGGTAGTTGAAAGGATTAAATGCTTTATTTATTTACTTTCTTTTTTTTGGTCTCCCTCCCTCCCACCCTCCCTATCCCACCCCTCTAGGTGGTCACAAAGCATTAAATGCTTTGATACTAAGTTCCTTGCATATGTTAAGGGCCCAGTATAGTTCTTCAGCACTTACCATAAGCACATAATGCCAGTACAATGTGATAACTTATGTACAGTACTTATTGTATTGGAATTACGTGCTTGTATCTTCCATTTAATTGTGTGTGCTTTGAAGCACTACTATGCATGAGATTTTGCATGTACCAATGATTTTCACAACATTCTGCTATGGTTCCTGATATAAAAGCACTTATTAACATGGTTTATCGCCATTGTTCTCTCCCTAATATGTACTGGCCAGTAACAAATGATTAGAAAAATCAATGTAAAGAATAAATGTTACTGTTGGTTAAGAATGAACAATTATATGGTACGTCATCAGAAGACCGTCAGCCTTTCCCAGATATGATGTTTCTTACTCAGAACCTTAATATAACTTTGACTTTCAGTTCTAAGACATGGGAGTAGCTTATCTATGTGAAATATCTTTAAATGACATGTTTTTGGTATTTAATAAATAAATAATCTGGGATGGGTACTTTGTACCACTTTGGCCAGTTAGCTCTTAAGTCAAATGTCTTTTGCTTAACATGAAGAAAAAAAATACAACATAGAAGTGCTGTGAAAGAAATGTTTGCATTCATTTGAAAATAAAATACCAACTCTGCTTTTGTTAACATTCATTTTATAAAATACCTTAAAAGAACAGATAAAGTACTGGCGTTTACATAATAACCAGAATTGAAAAAGGATGAATAAAATATAAATTAATTGAACACATAACTATTTTGCCATATTAGACAAGTTTAAAAAAGGCATTAAAAAAATAAAATAGTACATTGGGAAGAAAACCCTTCACTCAACTGCTGTCATTTTCTGGAAACTTTTCCTAGAAGCATTAAAATTCCAGGTCAACAGGCAGTTACCTGTATTGTTGAAAACATACTGTAATTTGCTTCCAAATCTGTCAGCATAAGAGAAAAGATTAATTTTTTAACCAGGTTAGATAATTCAGTGCAAATTAAAGCTTCAAGTTGAAGATCTGAGAGGAAAAATAATGTCCAAACTGTAGGAAATGCTTCTGGAACTGAAAGAGAAAAAATTCACATTACGAAAAAATCTTTGCAAGTGTTCTTGTGTGTGAAATATTGAGTTAACCAACGGGCCCTTTGAAGTTGCAGTTAGGGCTCTACTACTCTTTGCAATATAGGCAAGGGAATATGGATGGGGAGGGGCTAAAGGTCATCTTTGTGGAAGGAAGTTCAAGATCACCGTAAGCACTGCTGATTCAATTCTAGAAAATCTGGCCAGGATATTACAGACATCAAGGGGAAAAAGAGATTGTGGAGATTAATTTACTGGACTATCTTTGAGGATAAGTATTTCTACCCCCAGAATATGTTGGGGGACAGGGGAGAGCAGGCTAATGTTGGCCACAATCTGTTTTAATTATATGAATTATATATCATACTGGCTTTAAAAATAATCATATTACCAAGTCTTGAGACATGGGAGGAATGTCAAACTTTTTGGATCACAGTGAAACCAAACCTGGTTCATTTCCAACCATTAATGGCTAGTCACTTTTATAATTTAAAAATGTATTTTGGTTTAATTATTTCCTAAAAAAAAACTTTTGAGTTTGATAAGTCATAGGTAATAGGTAGCAATAGGTTTTTCACGATAATGTTTGATAGAAAGTTTCGCTCTTTCAATTCCATACAAAATTTTGATTCATTCTTTTTAATGATAAAACTAATTGTTGCTATTGAGTACTAGATACAGAGAGATTTTGGTGGAGGCTAGTAAGTTTTCTTTGCAAAATAGATTTTTAAAAATTCAGGCCTAAATTTTCTATATTGTCACCAGTCTTTTTCTAATCCTCACTGGGAATTTTCACATTTTTGAGAATTGTTTGAATGAGAATATACTATACTTCCTAACATTCATATTTTACATCCTTCCCTAATCTATTAAGAATGTTATAACAACATTATCACAATGAAGTGGCAACTTTTGGCTTTTAGACTGTACCTAAGATCAGCAAGTCATAAAAAAAAAGAACCACAGTGCTATTCCAACATGACATCAGAAACTAATAAATGAAAAATCATGATGACATAACATGGGGTTCATAAAGCAATGGAGAATTAGCCAATGCAGCTTTTAAAAGTGTAAAAAACTGCCCTCATATACCTACTTACAGGAAGAACATCTAAAGCAAATAAAAAATTCTTCCAGGGACATGAACCAGCTCAGAATCAGCTGAAGAAATTAAAATATAAGCAAAAACTATCCAAGGCCTGTGACTCCTCAGGTACCTCATGTCAGGAGATCAAACTGTCAAGTAAGGGCACATGTCAGCTCACAAAGGAGTGTGTTAGTTCCCTCCCCAGGTCAATGCAATGACGACACAAGTCTTGACTGTTAATTTCCTTTGGCTCTGCCACATGTTTGGTTACATGCTTTCAAATCCTGAAGAAAGGCTCACAATGAGATGCATCTTTTTACATCACACTGTGAAGTTAAAGGAGTGGCAAAAACGTGCACAAACCTGCAATCAGTCCATGTTTAGGAAGCCTTCTGTGGGTTCAAGCATTTAACACCGACCTGGTTTTGTCTAATTTCTTCACTAACTTAATAAGAAAAAAAAAAAAGCAGATTGCCTGAAAATTCTAAAGCGCTGGTGGAACCCTTCCAGGCTTTGTGCAGCAGAGACACTTTCACCATCAAAAGGGCAGATAAAGGATAACAGAATATTACAATGGAATCAGTTTGTGACGGTTTGTGCTTTAAGAACACAGTGCCTGACAGCGTGGAGCACATCATAGATGCCCAATAAATATTTGTAGGTTTATTAAAAGTAATAACACGGTTTCTGAAGAACCAACCTCCATTTTGCAAAAAAGGCAAAACTATATAAATGTCTTATACCTGACTGGATGGAGCAATGTGGAGCAATGAATGAGAGAATCGAAAAATTAAATACGAACTCTAATTTGATGGGAGAGAGAAAATTACTAAGAATTTTGCAAAAGAAAAATAAACAATGCCACAGTAGCATTAGCACTTAACAGTGCGTCAAAGATGTAACGTTTCCACTGCAATATGAACTGGTTCCTAAACTTTGTAGGTACCAGAGTGTAATCACTCAAACAGGAAATGAATTCTATTCCAGTTCGGGAAAGGTATGGTGATAGTTTTATCTGAAAATTATTAATGTATTTCTGGGAGACGGCCCTCTTATTCAGCATGCCTCAAAGTAATGCGGCATGAATATCAGGGGACCTCATTATACAACTTCAATACGGCATTGTCACGTGCAAGCGTATTCTCCCACCTCTGCGGTAGTTGCTTTCTAATATTGTAGGTTTTTGTTTTTAGCGTCGTGACACCCCTGGGATGACAAAGATGAGAGTGTGGACGATCACAAAACTTACACAAAAAGGGAAGCTCTTCTATATTATATGAAAACCCCTTATAAAAGGCATTCATTGACCAAAAAATGCTTTATACATTCAGATTTTACCCATCTCTCAACAGTGATGGTTTCCAAAGAAAAGACTCAGTAGTGAAGGCCACACACTTTTTTTTGCATTAATTTGATACGTTGAAAATCAGAACCTTTAAAGCATCTTGTAAATGGGAGAAATGGAACTGGACCTGGGTTTGGGGGTGGGTGGGTGGGATGGGAGCGATCAAAATGAATATGTGACTTAGCTGTTGACGCAGACAGCAAGGGAGTTGGTAGAAAATGTTACAGCAGACCTGACCACTGTACAGAGGGTCTATCAAGAACACAGTACAGGTATCAAAAAAGTCCCCAAACAAAACTAAAAAACAGACTGCAACTTTGCCAACTTGTAAACAAGGAAAAGCATTTCACAGATTCAAAGTTCAAGGGAAGTAAACGTCTTTAAATTATTTTTGTCAGTTCAACCCTGATTTAAAAGTATGGCTAGCAAAAATAAGGAAGCCGTGGCCATTGGCATCCTGAGCAAGAAGCTGTCTTCTGAGAAGCAGCACTTCCGAGCCTTTCTCTTCTCAAGATGCCACGTGAGGAGGAGACGTTCTCTCTTGAATTCCATCTCACTTTTCTCCTTTCCACACATCTGGAATATTCAGCAATTGCTTTGTGTTCTGGTGTTTACAGTCCTGGCTGCTATAGATTTAGACGTGGGGAGACGGGAGGGGGGAAGGCAAATTCTCGGAGGATGCTACGGGCCACTTCGACATTATTCTGGGCTATCTCTAAGGCTCTCTTAACTTCTTCAAAGGCATAACCCTCTCCCATGAGTTTTGCAATTTTTGCATCGACGTTTTCCAATGCTGCCTCAGGCCCGTGGGGTTTTCTGTGGTGAATTTCTGGTGCAGTCCTGCGGGGTCGTGGTTTAGGAGGTCTGGCTGGTGCTTGTGAACCATCTGCATAGATTTTTAAAGAGATATTTAAATAATGAGATAAAGATATTATACATTAGTATGATCTCATTATTTTATATGAAAAGTTTTTCATTGTTTCTACAAAAACCATTTTCCATTTTTTTATATACTACGGTTGGATAGGTTATATTGTCCCCATTTTGAACTTCAAGAAAACTAAGGTAGGGTGTGTTGGAAATTTAACTGAGAAATTAACACAAATTTTTTCCCAATTCTACATATTGTTCTTTAAACCATATGAAATAAAAGATACAGAAGGAAAAAACCAAAAATAACTGAAAAAGAAAAGCTTTCATTTTGGCAATACAGCTTACCCTTCTCTACTATGGTGGAGGCACTTGCTTGGGAAGTTTCTACTAGAGGAAACTGTTACAAGCTCGTGGATACTCCTGGCAGAACATCCCCACCAGGTCCTACACCCCACCCATGTCAGAGCAAAACTCCTGAGAAATATGCTTTGTGGCATATTTTTCAAGTTAATAATGCTGTAAAGTGATACCTTGCTGATGCTAAGGGGGAAATAATGAAATAGTAGATGCTTTGAGTCTGCTATTAGTCAATAGGTTGGACAGAAGTAAACTCAGTGCTTTGCTGAAATACTTTATCCAGATTCCAATGTAGAACGCTTAGCCTGAGAAAAAGCAAAGCCAGCAAAAACATTAGTGGAGAACTCGGTTCCAGATCAGTCCCCTGATAATAGTTTCTCAAAGTTAAACCCAATGACGCTGGTATCCATGAATGGAAAGTAATCTTATTAGGAGAAAAGAAAGTTAGTTAATAGACCACCATCCCATACACATCACCAGGACATGGGCTAGTAACTTGAGGTGGCACTTTTATCATGGATTTCCATTTATCTGTATCTGGTACTTAATATCAAAAGCCTAGATTTTTAAAAAAGTTTAAAAGTTGTCAAATTTATTCCATGAAACATTTATGGGTTTAAGATACAGTAGATGCCAACAGTTGTTTAATGTTTTTCCTCTTAGACCACTGACAGGTGCCAAATTCAAGGACACAAATAAATGAAGAAGTGAGGCTAGAACCCTCTTGACTCCTGTCCTCATCCTGTCCCTCTGGGTCTCTGCTCCCTTGCCAACTTTCCTGATGGCCTATGGAAATATTATAAGCTGATACTTTCAATAATAATCAAATGTAAATTATAAAGAATTATCTGATACATTATTTCATATTTCTCTCATAAGTATGATATTTTTCTCTGAGAAGGTAACTTGTAAAAAAATATATATCATCCTGTTTGCAATTCTAGTAATATCAATATAACATACACAAAACAAAAGCCTCCAGGATGAAAATATTTAGTTCTACACAAAATTGGATGATAGTCTTATTTCTAATTGTTCCTTTCTTACAGAATGATATCCAGTTTGAAAAAAATATTATAGCTGTAGATAAAGCTTACTCTGGTCATACATAAGAACACACATTAGTTTCTGGTTCTTGCTAAAGTCTATACTGTTTTGTATATCTGTAACTAAATATCGCAAATTATTATGGTCTAGTAAATTGCATTTCTTACTGTTTTGAGATTTCATTTATTTTTCTATTAAGTATTTCCATTATGTCATGCAGAGAGGGATAATAAATTATGCTTTGCTTCTAATTACTTCCAAAAACTATTAGAGATTCTAGTAAGCTTTCCTTTAATCAGTTACCACAGAATTTATACATTGAAATATTGTCTGTTCTGACTTACTTTTAGGTGAGAAAAGTATCTAGAATTAAACACAAGCTTAAATTCCTTGTATTCTACTGGTAATTTTCGACGAATTTTTCTAATATTGTTATTTTGTTTCTGTCTAAATACTGAGAAGGGGACATGAATATCAAGCATCTCTGAAAAGTACAGCTATGAATACTACTAAACTGGGAAAGATGCTGTGGCAGCGAGAGACCCATCTAATAGTATAATTGGAAGTTAAGTCTTAAGATTTAGAACTTCTAGATGTAATAAACATGTGTCTTTGATCTTGGTAGATGGCACCTGTCACCAGGAAAACCCCCTAAGAAATCTATCCACTCTGTGAGGCTGCTATAATTAATACTGGCCAAATGCAATGGAATTTGCAGATGACAAATTTTATTGGAGAAAGCTGTTCTTTTCTTGAAAAAAAATAAGTACTAAACATAATTCAGGAAGGCTAAGTTAGGTTAAACCAAATGTTAGGGAAAACACACACACACACACACACACACACACACACAAAATGATTAAATCAAAACTTATCTAGCTAGAGGAGTGAAGGTATCTCTGATCTATTTGTAATACCAACTAGAGGAAATGATTCAAACCATCTCTGGAAGGAATCACAATAGATTTTTGAAGATATTTTCAGTAAAAAAAGAAAAAACTTTGAAGCAAAGATTAATTTTTCCAAAAGATAGATTTTTTTTCCTTTTAAACACAAAACTCATATATCCCAACTCATTTAATCCTAGTCCTCATTGCCCTAACTCAAAATCTGTTTCCCCAAAACAGTGCTGACATCTCTTTGGAATCTTACAAATGCCCAGAGTTGAACTGTATCATGTATTAGAGCCCACAAATGGAAGTAACGTGGAAGCTTTGTTGCAACTTTTTGCCACCTGTTATATACATTTCTATTTATTGCTGAATATTTATTCAATTTGGAACGTTTTAATTTTTAGTTTGTTTTAATTGGATAGTGTAGCTCTGCACCAGGTAACTAACTGACAGCTACAACTTTTCAAGATGAGGATGTCGGTGACGAGCACCGAGGTTGGTTAGATGCATCTCAGTTTGGCCACTAAGATTTTGAGTGACTTTGAGTTAAGCAGTTTACTTTCATAACTCTCACTCTCCAAACCTACTAAGTATTATTTGTAATGATAACCACTATACCACAGTGCTACAGAACAGCAGTTACTATGAATTAATAGGAATTCAAATGTGGAAGAGGACAAAAACCTGGAATTTGTAGTGAGTGCCTAGTTCTATATGAAACTTTTAAGCAAGATATTAACAAGAAAGATCTGTTACAACCTGAACTAATAGTAAAAGCCGTTAAAAAAAACCAGGCAATTTTCATGCTGATCATTACAGCAAAGCACTTAAAGCCAATCCCTCTTTCTAGACACCTCTTCTTAAAACTCATGAACAGCCTTCACTGTTTCCACTTCTTCTTTCTCACAATGTCTAAAAGAGGAGATACCAGGTCCTTATTCACTTTGTAATGTGTAGATGATGCAAAGGAGCGATGAAACAGCAGATGAACCTCTCTCAGAGTTCTCCCAAAGCTGCTATGTTGTAGTTTTGGAGTACACTGGAATGACTATGAATTTTGCCAGCACTATGGGGATTTCTGTACCTGAATACATGTCATCCTTAGAAATGTGATTGGAAGGACATGTTTTATTCTGGTGCTGCTGTCCGTGCTCATGGTATTTTTGAACTCCTATGAGCAAGGGCAACAACATCCAAATAAGTGCAAGAAGGTGTGGAGCCATAGGCTATAAACAGTACATCTTCCTGGAGCACTAATTTTACTCAAGGATATGAGAGAGTTAATATTTTTAAATATGAAAATAATGTAGATATACCAAGTAAAATGCAAATTTTCTATAAATTGTTGAAATAATACAGACTTCGAAGCAATTTCCTGCATGTGATTGTCCACTTTTAGTTAAATCCCTAGTCCCCATGTCATTCGGAGTTAGCTCTTTGGTGGGGAGAAAGATTTGAGAAGCAATAGTTTGACAGCATATAAAAATGGACTATCATACAATAATTTAAAATGATGTTAAAAAAAATTTAATGATGTGGTAAGAAACTTATGATACTATGTTGTACTGTGGAGTATGATCTCCACTGTGGGAACATGTGTATGGACAGATCATTAGAAAGAAGGACTCCAAAATGGCAATAATGTTCCTTACTGATGACAGGGTTCTAAGTGACTTTTCTTGTTTTTTTTTTACTTCTACTTTGTTCTCTAATGTGTATGTACCACTTTCATAACTTTAAAAAAAGCCTCAGATCCCATCTGTTGGTTTTACAGGTCTGAGCTGCTCAAGAATCTAAGACAGAGATTGATTTTGCTGGTATAAAAAAGTACAGAAAGTACGTAGTGGCTTCCTAAATTCATGTGAAAAATGATCACAATCCAGGTTTTGAAATCTCTACTACAATTTTAGAATTCTTAGTACCCACTTCTATCACTACTCATTTGGTTTTTATGATTGGCTATCTCCAAACTCAGCAATCACTGTTATATGAATGTGTGAGTTAAAGTTTTTTTTTTTTTTTTTTGCCATACGCAGGCCTCTCACTATTGTGGCCTCTCCCGTTGCGGAGCACAGGCTCTGGATGCGCAGGCTCAGCGGCCATGGCTCACGGGCCCAGCTGCTCCACGGCATGTGGGATCTTCCTGGACCGGGGCACGAACCCGTGTCCCCTGCGTCGGCAGGCGGACTCTCAACCACTGCACCACCAGGGAAGCCCGTGAGTTAAGTTTTTAAACCTAATTTTTGGCCTGACTACTGGTGGGATTACAACATAAACTTGGCTAACAACAACATAAATGGGTGCACAGCCTACTGATTCAAATCCTATCGATCATTTACTAGCTGTGAGACCTTGGGTAAATTACTAAACTTTGTTGTGTCTCACTTACTTCTATAAATTGACATTAATAATACCTATTTCAGAGGGGTTGTGGGAAATAAAATTATGACTAGATCTGTATTGTATAGTAAATTTACATTTATTTATATATAACATTACATTGTATTATATAAACTACTCAACATTAATATACAATATATAAACAATTATATAAAATGTTCTGTATGTGCAACTCTAAATATAACAATGTTAGGTATTAAATTCTCTGTTGTCTATATTTAAAACTGTATGTAATATTTTTTAAAGTCTGAGACATAATCTCTAGTAATTCAATGATGATACTTGGGATGGACATCAAGACTCTTAGACTACAGAT